TTGGCAGGCGAGACTGTAGTTGTTTTATTGTTCCGAACCCCGAAATTCCGGTACTCGGGCCATTACTCCGGAGACCCTCGGAACCTGCTGTGTTTTTGCTGCTTGTTTTTTGTTTTTGTTTTGTTGTTGAGATGAGACACAAGCGCGCCTTCGCCCCTTGTGCTCACTCTCATCTAGCACCCATCAAAGCCTGACCAGGGAGTCAGTTGATAAGAACATCTATCTGCATTTCTCTTTCCAAAGCTCGCTCGGGCCTACCGATTTCACAGCAGTGTAGACCAACCTCTGTGATAGAGCGGTGACAGCAGTGTAACCTCTGTGGTAGACTACAAAGTCTACGAGCTACAGCGGCACCGCCACCTCCGCTGCTGCAAGACGCCACATTCTGTGACAGACAAGGGTAGATGGGGGGAGGTCGTGGAGGCAAAGATGGATGAAGGATACATCGTGTTCACCGTCGAGTGGTCGGAAGGCAAGAGCAACAGACGCAGCTCATATTCTACGGAGGACGTGCTTCGTGATCGCGATGATAACCAGGGCGTGGCGACACTTGAGGAGGCGAAGGAGAAAATGGGGGTGTTTCTACTTGCAACCTTGTGTATGGTCAACGTCCAGGTTTACAGATTCATTACCAAGAACACCAAGTTGGAGAATGTGTCAGTGTCAAGTGAGACACGCCCCCTGGCCCGGGATAAAAAAGTTGATATTACAAAAGGCCGGAACCACGCCTGGGAGGAGACGAAGAAAGTTCGTGCGGTGGATATATATGCTCATGGATAATGAAGTCACGTTCTTGGACTCCTCTGAGGACAAAGGCTTGCGGGTGGAGATGGAAGAAAAAGCGTGCTTCGAAATGATGGGATTGATCAACGACGCCAGAGCTCACTTCACGGGTCTTGTGAGAAGCACGGAAGATTTCCAAGACAAGCATCTAGCTTTGGTCAACCACTTTGTGAGGGGGGCTCAGGCGTCCTTTCGGCTGGGTCGACCCACCAACATGGCGTCGTCCATGATCCATCTTTCCGTGAACGAGCTTCCTCCCGGAGTCCAGGCCAAAGCATTGAAGGAACAAGACACTCAGTTGTATCAACCCGGTGAGCCGACGTCTTTTAGCCTGGGGATGAGGTGTGTCTTGGCGAGGGCACGGGTGAAGGATTCAGAAGAGTTTGGTGACGGGGGATCTTCGACCTGCCAGTTTCTGATGAGGTATCCGTAGTACAGGCTTCTGGACCTTTCCCGGGCTGATAATCTTCCTCTGTGTCCGACAACGGAGCATTCGAATCATGTTTCACCAACACTTCGCCACAGAGATGCGTACAGTCAAGCGTTTTCTTCGCACAGTAAGCGGAAAGCGTGTTTGAGCGTGTTTGACATAATCAAGGGGGGGTATCATTCTGTGTCGCAAGAGAAGCGGTCCGAAAAAGGTGTGATAGAGAATGAAAACGGGAGGATCGCATTTGGTGCCAAGTTCAATAAAGGCAGGACTCACTTGGTGGGAAGCGATGAATGTCTGCAAGGGTTTCTTTTTACTTGAAGAACTCGCGTCTCGCAATGGGATAGACTCGTTCATGGAGAAGTTACCCGACAAGGATGATATTGTCAAGATGTGCAATAAGTGCTTGAGATGAACCCACGCAAGCGCGAGAACGAGGATCATCTTTGTCCACCGGAGTTCAAACAGAGGAATGAAGCGATCGTCGATGAACTGGTAGAAGAAAACAAGGTAACCAGATCGGATATTTCGTTGCTCAGTTGCTCTTTAAACGGTGATGGATTCTCTGCTTACCGCTGCCCTTCGAAAGCAAGACATTTTGGGACAGCTTGCTAAAGATTTGTGCCGAATGAAGTGTAAGGACGTATATGGCAAAGACGTTGCTATTACCCGGTGTCTTCTTCCCCGTTACTTCAAAAACAAGAAGGCACTCGAGAATTCTACGTGTGGAGTAGTTGTGAACCATACAAAACATGAGAAGTGTGAGGGGGCGTATGCGGTTATGGCAGTCATTGGGAGGAAGGTGATGCGAAGGCTTCTGGAGAAGGAGGCGGAAAACGACTTGGCAGAGCTCAGAAAGAAAGGGGGGTGTACCGAGAAAGCCTTAGAGAGGGTGGCCGAGTCGTTACTCTTATACCCCATTTGGGTCCCTTTGACGACAAAGGCCGTGTCTTCACACCCAGTCAAGTGAGGGGTATGTACAAATGGTTGGGGCAGCGCACAATGGGCCTTTCGCTTTTTGGCACTCACATCATCCGCAGTAATCACGCGACGGCGGTGGCGATGTACTGTGTGAGGACAGGGCTGTCGCACGATGACCAGGCGGTCAAGGATTTGTTTGCTTTGGCGAGACACGGTGACAAGCAGAGGATTCGGTTTTACACGAAAGTCAAAGGTGATACGCCAAATTCGTGTGATTTCCTGACAAATTGAAGTGGTGCCCTTCCCTCACTTCGTCGCCTCGGGGAGGGGGGGGGAGTCAAGACTTATGAGAAAAGGTGGCGTCACTGAGTGATGTTGAAGAAGTAGGTCTTTCGGGTTTCTTTGCCTTCGAGGATGCCGAGTTCGACAAATGCGGGGCGTTTGCACGTGGGAAACCGGTGATGGGTGACGGGGCATATAGAAAGTTGGATGTGGTCGAGATGGATGATGAAGAGAAGGACTTGGTTAGGCAGGAGCGAAAGGCTATCAGGAAAGCTAATATTGCGATTGAAGAAAAACGGGAGAAAGAGGCCAAGACGGCCCAGTTTGAAAATAAGGTGGAAACCGGTGTGGAGTCGGGTGGTCGGAAGAAGGGGGGAGTTCGCGCTGACAGGCTCGAGTATCGCAAGAGTGCGTTTGCCAAAATAAATCAGTTGGTTTTAAAAGCAAGTAAGCTAAAAAGGTTGGGAAAGGGCAAGAAGCCCAAGCGGATGACGTTGGAGTATAGTTTGAAGAATGATCAGAGGACTGTTAGAGTTGCGTTCCACGACAACGTCAAGCGGTTTTTACACTCGGCAAATCCTGGGGAGAAGGACTTGTTGGACGGATTTTATTTGGATTTAATCGACGGGAAAAGTAGGCCCGGGAGTAAAGCAGTTGCTTACGCGAGGGAACATCGGATTGAGTGGAGTTACCACGATTGGTCGACTGGGAATGTTTGTGTTAGCGTAGCACAGGAGAAAAAGGGGGGTAAGAAGAGGAAGTTGGTTGAGGAGGGGGAGGGTTAGTAGTAGCGAGGACCGTTCTTTTACGTACGTTCAGGTTTGAATTTGTACGTGTGTGTTCCTTGGCCATGGTTACACAGCAGAAAAAAGTAGAGTGCCAAACGTTTTCAAGTTCAGCTTTAACTCAAGTTTGAAACCCGTTCCGGGTGATACAGCAGGAATGCACGCACACGAATCCTTTTCTAAATGGCGTTCTCGGCCCGCACGCAAAGTTCAGGCTTGAAAACTTGGGAACATGTACACCTGGCATGTGTGCACCTATTCCTGTACAACAACCAATCTTGTCTGTATCCATGGACTAAAAATGGCCGGTTTCAAGCTTTTTGAGGCCACGGAGCCCCCTTTTGCCATTGCTTTGCTCGTTTAGTGCCGATGGAAATGCCGGATGACTCCCCAACTTTGTAGGAATGTGTGCCTTGGCCATGGTGACACATCCCGAAAAAGCAAAACGTCAAAAATCTTCAAAGATAGTTTGGAACCAGCGCCGGGCGCTACAGCAGTACTGGAGGTGCCCGAAGTCTTTTGGCATTGGCAGTCTCGGCCGCCACGCAAAGTTGAAGCCTGGAAACCTTCCGCGGTCAATGCGCGCAGAGGCGGCGGCGGCCATCAGACCATGGTGCTTCATCGCGACGGCCTCAACCCACCGCGCCTCGCGCTTTAAGTTCCGCGGGCTGAATGTTGCTGATGTAAAAACTGCTGACAAATGTAGCTCGGCAGTATGTTGTGGTGCAGCACACAAATCCGGTGCCCCAGACACCACTGTCTGCCGCGGTCGGTTCGCGCAGAGGCGGCGGCGGCCACGGTGCTGCTTCGGAACGAGGGGCACAAGAGATGGCTTAGCCGACGCACCCAACGGGCCAAACCATGACCCTGGGGTACGCTCTCCTTCGGCAGCGGGCCAGTCGCACACGCCCAGCACAGCCCGGCCACAACCCACCCGCGGATGCGTTTTTCTCCCGCGGGACACACTGGCCCGGCTGTTGCTATTGTGAAATTGCTGACAAATTGACAGCTCAGTATGGACAGGTGAGTTTGTTGGGAAAAATAGCGCCCCACTTCTATTTTCCTAGAGCACATAGGCTCTTTGGTTGACGTGGTCGCTTCGGCGCGCGTAGAGTCCCGGTTTGTGAGAACGACGATGGATTTCAAATATGTACATGGGAACCTCTGTTTCAAGGTCGGACGCGCGCGCGAAAGAAATACTTGACCGTGTTGTGGGTCAGATGCACGCGGCCGTCATGCATTTTGTCTGTTTGTGTAAGACCGCGAACCAGCAGTTCGCAGTCCGCAACGGGACTCGGTGGGAGGGGGGGAGGCAGGGGAGATGCACGCACGAAACGTGCAGGAAAGAAACACAAAAAAGGGGACACAGCAAAAAAGGCACGCCGGGGCAAAAACAACAAAACAAGCACGCCATGCCAGCCCCAGTCCTCTGCCAAGGGTAGTTTCGGAACCTACACAGAGTGCAAACGCCATGCCAGCCCCCGTCCTCCGCCAAGGGTAGTTCCGGAACCTACACAGAGTGCAACAACAACCAAAACGAGCACGCCATGCCAGCCCCAGTCCTCCGCACAGAACCTACAGAGAATACAAAGACAACAAAACAAGCACGCCATGCAAGCCCCAGTCCTCCGCCAAGGGTGGTTCCGGAACCTACACAGTGCAAAACCAACAAAACCAGCACGGCATGCCAGCCCCAGTCCTCCGTACAGAACCTACACAGTGCAAAAACAACTAAACAAGCACGCCATACCAGCCCCAGTCCCTCCGCCAAGGGTGGTAAAATCACCGACCGCGCGCAATAGTGCGCGGCATGAAAGCACAGCGGAATCTGAATCGCTCCCTTGGAAAATTGGAGATACCGGTTGAACCTCGAGAACTGGTCAGTTATATTGATCTCTCTCGTAAATCACGACACCCGGCTAGGTGGTGTCACAAGCCGTACATCACAGTGAAAAACGAGTTACTGAGGTTAATTCTAGCACAACCCACACCCAGAGAAGCCACCGAAGACGTCGCCGTTGTCGCAGAGTTTTGTCCGGGCTTTTCAAGTTCGCGCTCTCGTCTTCCTTGCTCGCGCGATCTTGCACACTCCGGCTCGGATGCACGTGTAGCTCGGGTCGTCTCGATCGCTAAAACAACACCCACGTACTCTGCTGCCGTCTACGACAACCTAGCAAAAGTGCACACACAAAGACGCCACTCGTGAGGATGAGCCCCAAAGCCCGTTAAAATAGCGAGTCCCCACGAGTTCGGTAAAGTGTTTGTTTGCTCGCACGACTACTTACATCGAGAGATGAAGATTAAGTCAGGTAGCACGCACGGGAATCAAGGTGGGACTTTTGGCTTTTTGCCACACCAGTCACGAGACGTCACACGAAATTGAGGCCGAGCCACGCCTGGGATTGCTCCCCGCGGAGGCTGTGTGGCCTCGCAATCACAACAGGCTTAGTCAGGTCAGAGTAGAGTCGTAACCAAGTCAAGCCCGAGGGTTCGGTCAGGTATATGGGAACATTTTAAACAACACCCACGTACTCTGCTGCCGTCTACGACAACCTAGCAAAAGTGCACACACAAAGACGCCACTCGTGAGGATAGGCCCCAAAGCCCGTTAAAATAGCGAGTCCCCACGAGTTCGGTAAAGTGTTTGATTGCTCGCACGACTACTTACATCGAGAGATGAAGATTAAGTCAGGTAGCACGCACGGGAATCAAAGTGGGACTTGAGCTTTTTGCCACACCAGTCACGAGACCGAAATTGAGGCCGAGCCCCGCCTGGGATTGCTCCCCGCGGAGGCTGTGTGGCCTCGCAATCACAACAGGCTTAGTCAGGTCAGAGTAGAGTCGTAACCAAGTCAAGCCCGAGGGTTCGGTCAGGTATTTGGGAAAAATTTAAACAACACCCAAGTACTCTGCTGCCGTCTACGACAACCTAGCAAAAGTGCACACACAAAGACGCCACTCGTGAGGATGAGCCCCAAAGCCCGTTAAAATAGCGAGTCCCCACGAGTTCGGTAAAGTGTTTGTTTGCTCGCACGACTACTTACATCGAGAGATGAAGATTAAGTCAGGTAGCACGCACGGGAATCAAGGTGGGACTTTTGGCTTTTTGCCACACCAGTCACGAGACGTCACACGAAATTGAGGCCGAGCCACGCCTGGGATTGCTCCCCGCGGAGGCTGTGTGGCCTCGCAATCACAACAGGCTTAGTCAGGTCAGAGTAGAGTCGTAACCAAGTCAAGCCCGAGGGTTCGGTCAGGTATATGGGAACATTTTAAACAACACCCACGTACTCTGCTGCCGTCTACGACAACCTAGCAAAAGTGCACACACAAAGACGCCACTCGTGAGGATAGGCCCCAAAGCCCGTTAAAATAGCGAGTCCCCACGAGTTCGGTAAAGTGTTTGATTGCTCGCACGACTACTTACATCGAGAGATGAAGATTAAGTCAGGTAGCACGCACGGGAATCAAAGTGGGACTTGAGCTTTTTGCCACACCAGTCACGAGACCGAAATTGAGGCCGAGCCCCGCCTGGGATTGCTCCCCGCGGAGGCTGTGTGGCCTCGCAATCACAACAGGCTTAGTCAGGTCAGAGTAGAGTCGTAACCAAGTCAAGCCCGAGGGTTCGGTCAGGTATTTGGGAAAAATTTAAACAACACCCAAGTACTCTGCTGCCGTCTACGACAACCTAGCAAAAGTGCACACACAAAGACGCCACTCGTGAGGATGAGCCCCAAAGCCCGTTAAAATATCGAGTCCCCACGAGTTCGGTCAGGTGTTTGTTTGCTCGCACGACTACTTACAGAGAGAGAGATGAAATACAGCTGTGTAATTAATGCACAAGGTTGAACGCATGTCTAAACTTTGTCCAAACGAGCGACAGTAGAACTGGGAGCTTGTACCATAGCACAGGATCTCCGGTAACGATCAGGGCGGTGACAATAACTACGCCAATCGGCACTGCAAGTCTACCCATCTCGTA